AACCATAATGGTAATGATGATGAAAGTAGTAATGATGATAATATAAAAATAGTAATAATGATAAAAGTAATAACGATAAATAACAGTACACATAACAGTAATAATCACACTATTAACAAGAATAAGAAGAAAGAAAGAGAGAGAAAAAGTGATAGTGACACTAAGAGGAAGAGAAAGGGAGACAGAGAGATGGAGACAAAGAAGAGGAAGGGGAATACCAAAAGAGAAAGAAAACAGGAAGAAAGGGAGAAGAATAGGCCAAGATAAGAAAGACAGGAGGAGGGAGAGAGAGACAAACAGAGAAGCAAAAGAATCGATAATCAATACTCGGCTTTGGGCGGGGGAAGGGGGGTGTGAGGGGGAAGGGAAGGGGGGGGTAACCACCCAAGACATCCGGCCTCTGGGGAGAGATAGAAAGATAGATAGATGGATGGATGGATAGATATGCAGCGTGATAGATGGATGAATAAATAGGCAGAGGGATAGATAAATAGATACAGGGATGAATGAATAGATAGATAGAGGGATAGAGGGATAGATAGATGGAAAGATGAATGGATGGGTAGATACATAAACAGACAGATAAAGAGAATGTAGAATATATAGACAACTAGAGAGAGAGAGAGAGAGAGAGAGAGAGAGAGAGAGAGAGAGAGAGAGAGAGAGAGAGAGAGAGAGAGAGAGAGAGAGAGAGAGAGAGAGTGAGAGAGAGAAGGGACAACATATGCGGAAATAATAATAGACGACTAATTAATAGATACAAACAAATGATGATATGAATATAAAGGAGAAGAATATCTATAATAACAAAGAATTATAGACAACGAAATGAACGAAAGGTAAAGACCGAAGACCATATTAGGGAAAAGAGGAATGAGGAATAAGAATAAAGTGGTGAACGGGAAATTGGAATAAAAAAGAAGGAAATAAAACCAGGCACATAAATCCACGAACGACATACTCATTGCGAGCGGTTTCCGGGTGACATATTCAAATGTGGGTTGCATTACCGTAGACTTTGTGAGGCGTTTCCATTTTCGGGTGGCGGAGAGCGAGTAAGCTAGACAGAGAAAGTGAGAGAGAGAGAGAGAGAGAGAGAGAGAGAGAGAGAGAGAGAGAGAGAGAGAGAGAGAGAGAGAGAGAGAGAGAGAGAGAGAGAGAGAGAGAGAGAAAGGGAGAAAAAGAGATAGAGAAAGAGAGAGGCAGAGAGAGATAGAGAAAGTGAGAGAGAGCGAGAGAGAGAGAGAGAGAGAGAGAGAGAGAGAGAGAGAGAGAGAGAGAGAGAGAGAGAGAGAGAGAGAGAGAGAGAGAGGGAGAGAGAGGGAGGGAGAGAGAAAGCACGCCCATTTCATATGTTTTAGACAAACACAAACAAAAAATTATCAAGGGCTTAATGGTATTATGTTTCTGTTGTCATTAAACAAATAATTAAAGCCAGCGTGCATTTAAATGAAACTGTACTCGATTCCACTTGAAAATAACAGTTTGCTGACTGGCATGATAACGGTAATCGGTTCTGGCGCTCGTAGGGGTTAAAATCCTTTGAAAGAGGATCTGCATTTCACCTTTATGAACCGAGAGATAGGCTGCCCCCATCGTTTGCATGTAATATTTTTTTCATATTATTTTCTTACTTTTTCTTTTGTTGTTTGTCTGTTTTCATGCATCTATGTGTAAAATATGCATTTATGTATATAATATTAATGTACATTAATGTGTGTATGTTTGATCCTTCTCCCTTTCTAAATCTCTCTCTTTCTTTCTCGTTATTTCTCTCTTTCTCCCTCTCTTACATGTCTTTCATTCTCTCTCCCTCCCACCTTCCCTCACTCCCGCTCTCTTTCTTTTTCCCTCTCCCCCCCCCCTCTCTCTCTTTCTACTCCCCCCTCTCTCTCTCTCTCCTTTCCTACCCCTCTTCCCCTCTCTCTCTTTCTCATTCTCTCTCTCTCTCTCTCTCTCTCTCTCTCTCTCCCTCTCCCTCCCCCATCTCTCCCTCTCATAGAAACAACGACAAAACCCCCCAAACAAGGAAGGAAAATCTGGATATTTTAATCTCCATTCACACCCCATGACCCCTCCCCCCCTCCCCCCCCTCCCTACCGACCGAGTGTACAGATCTATTAATAGACAGATCGATAAGCGCCCTTGTGTACAGAGGCACAAGGCTCGCTAACGAACCGATTTTGCTCTTGTGTCACTTCTGTCCGAGAGATGGAGTGAACAGCAGTTTTGTTTTGTTTTGTTTTGTTTTGTTTTCGATGAACGTGTCTCTAGAATTTTATTTTGTTTCGATGGACATTTCTGAAACGTTTGTTTTATTTTGATGGACATTTCTTGATATTTGTTTGTTTGTTTGTTTTCGATAAACTTCTCTTAAAGATTTCTTATTTTGTTTTTGATGAACATCTCTTTGTATGATTTGTTTGTTTTCGAGAAACATGTCTTCAGCATTTTTGTTTTTGTTGTTGTTGTTGTTGTTTTCGATTAACAGCGATTCTTGAAGTACGCTTCTTAACGAACGTTTCATCATGAACATTTGCTAACGAATGTTTATTATTTTTATTATTATTATTGTTATTATTATTATTATTATCATTATTATCATTATTATTATCATTATTATTATTATTATTATTATTATTGTTATTATCATTATCATTATTATTATCATTATTATTATTATTATTATTATTATTATTATTATTATTATTATTATTATTATTATTATTAACGAAGAGCTTTTAATCAGTACGATGGTGTTACTGAGGTAGGTGTAGGATGTCATCTGCTGCTGTCTAATTGTGTGTCTGTCTGTCTACCTGTGTCTATTTGTGTGTGTGTGTGTGTGTTTATGTCCTTTATGTTCTTTTCATCCCTCTTTCTCTTTTTTATTCCTCTATATTTTCTTCTTTTCTATTTTTTTCTTTCTCTTTCCCTTTCCCTCTCTCCCTGTTTCCCTCCCTCCCTTCCTCTCTCTTCTCTCTCTGTCACTTTCTTTTTTATCTCTTTCTTCCAAATTCTCTCTCTCTCTCTCTCTCTCTCTCTCTCTCTCTCTCTCTCTCTCTCTCTCTCTCTCTCTCTCTCTCTCTCTCTCCCTCCCTCCCTTCCTCCCTCCCCCTCTCTCTCTCTCTCTCTCTCTCTCTCTCTCTCTCTCTCTCTCTCTCTCGCTCTCTCTCTCTCTCTCTCTCTCTCCCTTCCTCCCTCCCTCTTCTTCTCTCTCTCTCTCTCTCTCTCTCTCTCTCTCTCTCTCCTCCTCCTCTCTCTCTCTCTCTCTCTCTCTCTCTCTCTCTCTCTCTCTCTCTCTCTCTCTTTCTCTCTCTCTCTTCCTCACTCCTCTAATTTCTATCCGATAATTCTTTTCCTCTTCCGAAAATAACCTAAATAAGGCGGAAGGCAGGGGGAGGGGGAGGGGGAGGGGAGGGAAAAAAATCCTATAAAACAAAAGAGCAAAAATATAAAGGCAAACCCAGGAATAGGCCTATGCAGTAACGCGAATACGAGAACCGGGGATAATGAGGACAAATATGCTGAGCAAGCGAATGGGGAATAAGGAGAGAATTAAGAAAGGGGGGGGCAGGGGTTGGGGACGATAGGAAAGAGGGGAAGGGATAAGAGACGAGGACGAAGGAATTATCAGCCGGGTTGGTCGATGGATAAGGGGAGAGAGAGAGGGGGGGAGGGGGAAGGGGGAGAGAGAGAGGGAAGGAGGGAGGAAAGGGAGGAGGGAGGAGGGAGAGAAGGGAAGGTGGAAGGAGGATGGAGTTGGGTATGATGGATCTAGATGTCGAAGAAGTGTGTGTTTGAATACAGGCATGCACACACACACACACACACACACACACACACACACACACACACACACACACACACACACACACACACACACACACACACACACACGTATATATATATATATATATATATATATATATATATATATATATATATATATATATATATATATATATATATATATATATATATATAGACAGATATATAGACAGGTAGGTAGAGAGAGAGATAGAGAGATAGAGAGATAGAGAGACAGACAGATAGAGGGAAGATCCACATATATATAGACAGATAGATAGATAGATATATGAACCCACATTAACATGCATAAGTATGCACACACACACATACACATATGTCTGTGCATTTTTTTGTTGTTGCTGTTTTCGCTCTTCCTCATTCCCTCCATCCCTCTCTCCTTCCCTCCTTCCATCCCTCCACCCTTCTTCTCCTTCCCTCCCCCTTCTCGCTTCTCTCTCTTTGTATATAACTATTTTCACAATAACAAAGAAATTTGCATCCAGTATCGATAATAAAAATCGGCTCTTAACATGGGAAAAACATAAAAGGAAATTGAAATACGAAATAGATATGCGAAGGAAATCGAGCAAAATGCAAATACAACAACATAAAAAAAAAAATGAATTTGAAATATCTGAAAACAAATAATATAATTTTATGATTTAAATCTTCCTTATAGAGTATGACCACAAACATGAATTAAATTTTGATAATAATAAGATATGTGAAGAGAAGAAGAGAGAGAAAAAAATATATTACGATATAAAATTGCGTCGTTAGTCATTTGTTTCACGCCCATAAGCTCAGTTCACAACCCACTGTGGGCGTCGATCTAACAAAAAAAAAAAAAAAAAAAAATTTACATTCAGGGAATATTGCAAACGCCCATTACATCTTCTTGGCAATATAGGTAAAAACGAGGAAAAAAAACACTATACATGATTGCAACGAAAAAAGGAAATGCAATGAACTCTCTAATACCAAATGAATGATTCATTTTTTACGACTTGGTCACGGTCTTAGAGCGGACGGAATAGTAGCGCTGACTCGATAACACGCACAGTAAACGACCCTCCTAGCTCTTTAACCCTCATGATTTATATCGCTTATTGCACTGCAACATACACGTACACTACCTTTGGCTACACATCAAAGTTTTTTTTTCTTTCTCTTTTTCTTTTTCGTAGTTGAGTGGCGAGGATACGCGGAAGAAGAAGAAGAGACACAGAGAGACTCGATAAAGAAGGTATGAAAGATTAAAATCGTAATTAGTAGAGAAGGAACGGGAAGGGCAGAGGTTGATGTCAGAATGCTGTCTTTACTCTGCTCTTTACGTCTAAAAGGAATGTAAAAGTGGGGGAAAATAGACTTAGAAATATGCATAGTGTGGATTCTTAACTATCTATCCCCATTGGTGGACGTTTTTTGTGAGGTCAGTTCAAAGCAACGGAATATTTAAAGCAGTGATATTGAACTTTGAAGGAACCTCAATTTCAGAACTTATATGAACTGATATCGGTCTCAAAACGTATTTCAAAACACCTTGTACATTTGGAAGATACTTAGAAAGAACCCTAGTTATGGTTAAAACGAAAATCATTAACGGTAGAACTTGTAAGGAACATTGAGAAAGTTCAAAATAAAAATCAGTAATGAGGTTCAAAGATTTATGATCCGTCGACCTCACCCTCATGAAGCTTTCTTCTCTTTCTTCTTCTTCTTCTCCTTCGTCTTATTCTTTTTCTTATCCTTGTTGTTGTTGTTGTTGTTTTTTTCTATCTACGCTTAGAAACAATAGAAAGGCACTTGCAAAAGAAACTCTTTTAAGTTCATATCTTCAAAACATCTAAAATTATTCCCCGTCAGTATTAAACTTCGCAACCGGATACAGACGTTGCAACATGAAAGCAAGGACTATTGTCAACCTGGTTCTAGCATTATTTGCAACCCAGGACACACTGCAAATAGTGTACTCTTTGTCAACATCAATGCCACTAGACGCCTGGCGCAAGAGTCAATGTTCTCTCTTCCATTTGAACAGTTTCTTCTTCAAAATACGACGAGTCAGCATGATGGTACTGAAGAAAGTAGGTGTGGGGGGGGGGGGTTATAGCTAAGGTAAGGAGAGGAGGGAAGGGAAAGATACGATATTTTTTTTTAGGAAAATATAAAATTCATAATGATCCTGATCCTTCTCTGTAATGATAATCTAATCAAATGATTATCTAAATAGATTTATTACGGTTATGAATAATGCTCTATGGTTCAGTAATTCAGGTAATGCGACATTTATAACGAAGGTGAATGTAGAGTTACTACTTACTTTACTCAAGTTACTCACGTGAACTAGAATGGTTAATGAAGGCTTATTAAAACTGACCTTGAATGAGCTATTATGAACCAGGAAGCGGAATGAAGTATTATTAAGACTGACCTTACTCAAGTTGCTTACACGAACCAATTGTGTTTGTTCTTTTGTGCTCACCTCCTTTGTCTTATTCTTGTCGTATTCTTAACTTGTGATTTTCTCTCCGTCTCTCTGTCTCTGTCTCTGTCCTTGTCTGTCTGTCTCTCTCTCTCTCTCCCCTCCCTCTCTGTCTCCCCTCCCTCTCTGTCTGTCTGTTTATCTCTGGCTCTGTCTCTCTCTGTCTCTGTCTCTGTCTCTGTCTCTGCCCCTGTCTGTCTGTTTGTCTGTCTCCCTCTCTGCCCTCCCTCTCTGTCCGTCTGTCTGTCTTTGTTCCTCTCACTCTGTCTCGGTCTGTCTGTCTCTGTCTCTGTCTCTCTCTCTCTCTCTCACTCTCTCTCTCTTTCTTGTTCTTCTTTTTTTTAAATATTGTGATTATCCTCCTCCTCCTCCTCCATCACAGTCATCATCATCATTACTACCATTAACACCATTAACAATCATTAACAATTATCATCAAAATTTTACTTACTAGAATAGTATGTTTCTCTAAACCAGCAGTCATGTCGACAAGTCTTTGATTAACACTTACTATTGAAGTTGCAAAGTAAGTGTTTGGAGGAGAGCTCTCGCTGCAAATGCAATTGCAAGTAGAAATCCAGACCGTGCTAATACGTAGGTACTTTGATAACGGAGAGATGGAAATGCAAAGGACACACATCATATATATATATATATATATATATATATATATATATATATATATATATATATATATATATATATATATATATATATATATATATATATACATACATATATATATATATATATATATATATATATATATATATATATATATATATATATATATATATATATATATATATATACATATATACACACACATATATATGCATACACACACACACACACACACAGACGCACACACATACACGCCCCTTAAAGGTGAAAATCACACCTTAAGCTTTACCCAATGACCTTATATGCATGAGAAGTAATGATAACATCCTATAAATAAATATCTTGTTATCATTTCATTAGGATATTATGCAAAGAACTTAAGAAAATATCCTCATTAACATTTCGAATTTGTGTGCTAATTGCGTTTTAAAAAGCTGAAATGTTAAAAGGATTGTGAAGTTATCATATATATCATTATAAATGTTTGTTGAAACAGAGGCGTTAGAAAGGGATGACGAATAAAAAAATAATAATATAATAATGCTAGAAATAATGAAAATGATGATAATAATGATGATGATGATGATGGCAACAACAATGATAATGATAATGAAAAAAAGTAGGAAAAGAATAAGAAAATAGACATTTGAACGAAAGAAAGGAAGAAAAAGGAGGCAAAGAAGAAAAGAGATGGTGAAGAAGTAGAAGAACAACAACAACAACAGCAAGAATAAAAAATAAGAACAAGAACAAAAAGAAATAAAAAGATAATAAAACGAAGATGAAAGAGAAGGAGAGAAAGAACACAAAAAAAAAAACAAAAAAAAAAACAATAAGAATAAGAACAAAAAATAAGAAATAAAAGAAATGATAAAAATAAAACGAAGACGAAATAGAAAGAGAAGAAAACAACAACTTTATTTCAAGCATATCTATCCCAGATTTTCCTTTGTCCCTCGTGGGTGAAAATAGATCCTTGATTGTATTGCAAAATGATGCTCTGACCCGCGAGATAAGGGGGTGTATGACGTCACTGAAGAGATCCAAGAATAGTACGAACTTTTAAGACGAAAGAGAAGCGATGATGGATATAAAGAAGAGAAGAGAATAGATGAATACGATGAATAAATTGAGATAAATGCGATGATATAATTAAAATGAATGCGATAGATTACGATACATGAATTAAGCTAGATCGATGAAATAGTCAAGGTTTAGAAATAGTCAAGGTTTTATTTGGCTTTTATTAATTTCAGGTTGCCATGGTAGCACGTTTTCCTTTTGTTTTTGTTGTGTTTTTCTTGTTTTATTTTTTATTTTCCTTTCATGTGTTAGAGTCTTTCTTTTTTTATTTTTTAGTCCTTTCTTTGTATCTCTTGCTGTTTTATTTTTGTTATTTTAATTATGGTTTTCAAGGAGAATAACTGGTTTCTTTTCCCCACGTTGTTTTAAAATTGATGTTAATTCTAGTTTGAACTTTGACCTATGAAATGCGGTCGCGGCTTTTCTCATCTCTCTCTCTCTCTCTCTCTCTCTCTCTCTCTCTCTCTCTCTCTCTCTCTCTCTCTCTCTCTCTCTCTCTCTCTCTCTCTCTCCCTCTCTCTTTCTCTCTCTTTCTAATTTCATCTCCTTTTCTCTCTCTCTCTCTCTCTCTCTCTCTCTCTCTCTCTCTCTCTCTCTCTCTCTCTCTCTCTCTCTCTCTCTTTCTCTTTCTAATCTCATTTTTTCTCCCGACCTACGTTCTCTCCTGCTCCGCCATCAGCATCGCAGACAAACAGGCACTTGATGACGTCATTGCCTGGACCCTTACCCCCCCCCTCCCCTCCCCCAGGCTTTTAGTTGTATTAGGTGCTCGCTTTGTTTGTCTGTTTATCTGTCTATCTTTTTTTTTCTATTTTATTTTTTATTCATTTTTTAATATTTATATCTATTGATATCTTATGAATATGTTGGGCAGGTCGTACGTTCGTATCTGTGGATCAGTGAGTTTATCTTTTTATGTACCTAATTATGTCTGTTAATATATGTCTGTTTATATCTATTTGTCTTCTAGACAATCTGTTTATTTGGATATCTATCGGTCATCGGTTATATTTTTTCTCTCTCTCTCTCTCTCTCTCTCTTTCTCTCACACACACACACACACACACACACACACACACACACACACACATACACACACACACACACACACACACACACACACACACACACACACACACACATATATATATATATATATATATATATATATATATATATATATATATATATATATATATATATGTATATATATATACACACACACACATATATATGTGTGTGTGTGTGTGTGTGTATACATATATATATATATATATATATATATATATATATATATATATATATATATATATATATATATATATATATATATATACATATATATATATATATATATATATATATATATATATATATATATATATATATATATATATATATATATATATATATATATATATATATGTGAATATGTGTATGTGTGTATATCCATTTATATGTGTGTGTATCGTTATATACATATCCATACAGGCAGACATATCTATAACATGCCTACAGCCGTATCTATATTTATAGCCAAACGTCATTTAGATAAAGAATCCTTCACTCTATAGCGGTTGTCATGGCAACATCTCCCACTCTCTTGCCTCCTCGGCTTTCACTTCGTCTCTGTCTATTGATCTCTTTATCTAGCTATCTGTCTATCTGTCTGTCTCTCTCTCTCTCTCTCATTCGCTTTCTCTCTCTCTCTCTTTTCTTTCTCTCTGTCTGTCTGTCTGGCTCTCCCTCACTCGCTTTCTCTTTCTCTCTTTCTTTCTGTCTGTCTGTCTGTCTGTCTGTCTGTCTGTCTGTCTGTCTCTCTCTCTCTCTCTCTCTCTCTCTCTCTCTCTCTCTCTCTCTCTCTCTCTCTCTCTCTCTCTCTCTCTCTCTCTCTCTCTCTCTCTTCTCTCTTTTGCTTTCGCTTGGTAGTGTTCTCATCCCCCCCCAGGCACTCCCCCCCCCCACACACACACCCATATATATATCCCTCTCAGCCTCAAGCAAGATGTTCTGTTAAGATGATGCTTGTGTTTATCTCCAGGCCGCCGGATGCT